AACATTTTTCTTGTTCTTTTTGCTTTTTGTGAAAAGAAAAAAAAAAAAAAAAACAAATTAATAAAACAATATTAAAAAGCGAAATAGGATTCAGAAATTAAAAAGAATAATGATAAAAACACGTATCCTTTAGGTAGTAAATATGAAGAAATAACATTACTATTGATCAAGTGGAAAAGGAGGAAAAAGCATTGAACGTACGGGAAAAAGACAGTATAAGCAATGGAATAGTGTATGGTCTGGTCCGCCAGGTGTCTATAACCCCGTTCGATGTATTATAAGTGAATGTCGCAGGCACATAAAAGATTCGCAGCTAATATTTAAAAGAGACTCGGTGTATCTGGTAAGTCAAAGCTGTAAGGTGAACTAAAAGGAAACATATGCAAACTTTCTCCAGTAGTATACCAAGAGTGATGTTATGTCGAACTATTGTTGTCCATCCTCGTACGAGTAGTTATAAATCTCCATTTCAATGGTGTTTTTGTATGTCATGCGTATAATTAATATAAGTATATCATCAAATACCTTTCGAACTATAATAAAATCTCTCTTAAGATGTGTGTGTGTGTGTGTTTGTGTGTGTGTGTGTGTTTGTTGCAATAGAAGCGAGGTGAAGTTTTTCAAGGACATATTATTTCATATTGATTTTTGTTTTAATTTCACATGCTGCGTCGTACAAGTTACAATTTCATTAACCATCGATTTATACTTATGCATTAGCGTTCTGTACGTTGAGCAATAATAAATGTTAAATTTGTATGTATCTTGGGCAAATCCCGTTCAACCCCATCAATGAAAAGACTTGAGATTACTATCAAATTTTGCTCTAACGTTATGTAAAAATATTAGGTAATTTTATTATTCGAATGTAAAAGTATAATTATGTATGTATACAAAAATAAAAATTTATTATTTTACTATTCAATTACAACGCGTTATGTCATACCTTACACTGTATTAAAATAAAAATCGAATAATATTACTTGTAAAAATTTATAAATTTTATAAAATTTGTTTTCAATTTTACGCTAATATAATATAAATTATGCATTACAGACAAAAAATTATATATATTTTTAATATATAATAGCACATTAATTTCTATATAAGCATTTATAAAAAAAAAAGCACATAAAGAAGGCGCTCACGTATACATGCATTATTGTTAAAAGCTTATTCAATATATATTATGTATACATAATTTTGAAAATATTAATACTTTTATTATAATATTTATTGTAAATTGCATCTTGTTCATTTGGCTTCACATTTTTCTGTCATTTAATTGTTTGATCAAAATTAATGCATAGATTATATCATGAATGAAATAAAAGTTTCAGTAAAATATATATTTTATTAAATCAAGCAATAGGACAGCATAATAATTTAATAGAGAAATTATTGTTAAAGTTATTTTTAAAGAAACGCGCGTATATAATATACAGAAAAAAAAATATGTTTTTAAACATTGGAAGATTGTTTTGATTATTTGACATAATTGCCAAAGAATTTTATTTAAAATTATAGCCATTTAAAATTAAAATTAAAATCGAAATTAAAATTAAATATAAATTGCATAAAATAAGATTCATTTTTCGTAATACTTATTCCATTAAAAACTGATATGCATTTACAATTTTTGTTGCTTGAAACTCATACAAATTTGATTTCTATCTCAAATTCTATTTACATATACATTCATGCGTATATATAACATTATTTTATTACTACTTTAATTAAGAATTTTACAAAATTTTATTACATATAAAAGGAAGTTTTACGTAAAGCTAATGAGTGCACATATTATTACAATGTTAATTCAATATTATCTATATATTAGTGTAATAATTTAATTATTTGAACATACATATTTCTGAACTTTTAAACATGTATTTTTATTATTATCAAAAGCATTTGCATACCGATGTCTAATATTTATGTATAATGCTGCTTAAATCATAAACACACTGATAAAGTAAAAGAAGTGTTTAAAACTAAATCAATCATGTAATATATTATACTTATGGAAATTTTACAACAAAAATTACTTATTTCCTATTGTTTCATAATAAAAAGCAACAACAAGAATGGTATATGCATTACGTATAATAGATACTTAAGAAATTACCTACGATGTACTACTTGTTTTCATCCTTTCATATAAAAACATTAAACGAAACCTAGATTTATTTAATATATTAACAATTTTCTCATTTCTCTATTTAGCCAAAGATATATGAGTTTTAATCTGACTTTGAGAAAAACATTTTTAATTGTATTAATCTGGTATGTGTCTTCCATCCCAATGATAATTAAAAGAAGGAAAAGTAGATTCTTCATAATGAAGTAAATACAGTAACATAATGCTTTAAAAATTATATATTATTATTAAAAATCTATGTAAAAATCATACTAATGTCAACTTTTAAAATTAAATTTAAATTACTGATTATTTATGGATTAACATTAAATATTTTCAGAATCATAGAAAATCTATTTAAAACCAACAAAAAAAAAAAAAACAAAAAAACAAAAAACAAAAAACAAAAAAAAACCATTGGAATCGGAAAGTGCTAAGTACTCTACTGACGAGAATCTATTCCATATAAATCATAATTTTTCTGTTTTATGCTTGATAAAGTATCTTATTCCCGGAATTGCATAATAACGTGGGCGTACTTATTCATATTTGTGTGAATACGGCTATGAGAGATGATATAAACGAAGGAGATTTTTATTGAACATACGAAAAATTTGATGGAAATTATACGTAACATTTATGACGAAATAAATGTTAATTGAAGTATTTTTTTTTTTTTGTAACGAGCGTCTAATGAACGAGATGAATAATATCGTAATCAAATGTATTTAAAGTAATAAACAATGATATTAAACAAATTTTAATAAGATTTAATGAATATGTGAATGATTTTTTGTTTATTATTTAATATGTAATTTGTATATCAAAAATCAAAAAATGGAAACAATCTAAAAGGTGCATTAAAATGGTAAATTATTTTATAAAAGTTATTTATTAATTTAGCTTTATTATATATTTTCTTACAATTTTAATATTTAATATGGAGTCAACGAATATATATATATATATTTACAGTAATATATTTGAAAATGAAAAATATAAATAATATACCGATATTATAGTCGATTCACAAATGAGTAGAACCGAATGATGTGACGCATAGAATGAAATCGTTAGTTATTTTTATAAAAATTGACCAATATAATTTATAACACATTTTTTGATATTCTAATTGCGAAGTTTCAATGTATTAGGTACGTTATCACTGAACTGGAGTTGAAATGGGATATTTAGTTAATCCTGCTAATGTTGCTTCTAAATAATCGATAATGTAAATGTAAATAACATTTTTTTTTTTAATTCGTTTGATGAATGATCGAGATGAATTAGTTGAAATTGATGGGAATTAAATCTTTTATCAGCAATTGATTGAGAGAAGAAAGATGCCGAAAGACACGTTTGATTTCAAACGAACGTGACAGTGTCAGTGACTAATCTCGCTTCTTCTTTCTCTCTATTTCTTTCTTTTCATCTTTAACTGTATTTCTTTTTTCTCTCACTCTCTTCACCGCGCTCGCTGATGCACTTTTTTTTTTATCCTTGTTGACTCTCATTTAATCCTTTTCTTTCTTTTATACTCTCTCACTTTTTTATTTTTACTATTCTGTTCTCGCTTACTCTTTCATTTCTGCTTCTTTCTCTTTCTATCGATCTATCTCAATAACATATTCCTTTTCCTTATCTCGCTTGTTTTATTCGTTCTCATTGTTTTTTTTTTTTATCCCATATCAATTACCGTTTCTTTCCTTTTCGGTCGTTAATCAATTATCGTGCATTCATCCTATTTACCGTATATCGTTATTTTGTTCATTATCTTATTTATGATTTTCTTACAGATTTGTTTTTGGCACTCGTTCATTCTTAATAAATTTATCCTTACTATTTTGGAAACTCCTTTCCATTAACGATCTCTCTTAAACGTCAAAATCTACATACTCTCACTATCTCACACATAACTACTTCATAATCATTACACTTAATGTAATTTTTCTTTTCGTCAAAGTTTAGTTAGAACATTCAGTTCTTTATAAGCAATCGCATGTGTGTTTTACAGTCGTACATCCGAATACCGACGATATCACGAAAAGTGTACACACTGGTCGCACAACCGATAGAAAGAGCGAGAAAGTGCACGATCGAAGAGCACAGTGCGCATGCGCGATACTTTAACGTGTGTTTTCTCTCTCTCTCTCTCTCTCTCTCTCTTTATTTATCACCCAATGAAAGGAATACATGGCCCAGGAGCGAGAGCGCATACACACGCTTTACAAAGACGTTCAACATCTCAGCAATGAATATCGTCGCGAAAAGAGCGAAGGAGTGCGAGAAAGAGAGAGGGGCAGGCGGGTACACAAGGCTATGCATTGCCGCTGTCGGCGGCGTTCTCCAACTCTCTCTCTCTCTCTCTCTCTCTCTCTCTCTCTCTCTCTCTCTCCCTCGCACTCCTTCGCTCTTCGCTAGCTCTCGGCAACTTCGGCGCGATTGGGCTCTTCAGTTTGCTACTCACCACTGAGAGTCGTGGAGGTGTCCTCGAGCACCTGTCCAATAGTGCACCACCGGTCTCGGTAGCCACTCTCTCTCGCTCCTCGTGTCCCATCGCGGCAGCCTCCCGAAATCTCCACTACCCTCAACCTCCTCCTTATTCCTGTTCGGGGGCATTCGTAATCGCGTCCCATTATTCGCTCGCTTCGACGCATTCGTGGATGCAACACGCGGGCTAATACGCGCCGACGGCGAACCCGGCGAGGTGCGTCGGCTCCGACCGGGACCGGACGAGTGCGCGCGAGACTACCGATGATAGTGAGAGTTGCGTAGGGATAAAGGGCACGATGAGGGGCCAGCCGAGCTAGGCCAATTCCGAGTGGATAGCCGTCGCCGAGGGAGAAAAGGGAGAAAGGGAGAAAAGGACCTGGAGCCTTGTCGCCAAGGGCTTGTCGATAAAGGAAGTGAGGTGCTGCCGTGTCGAGCTGTTGCTCGTACTTGGGCATTTTTATTAAAGTAGCACTGTCGAGGATAAGGTCGCTCTGGCGTATCCACAGTTCGAGCAGTGTCGAGGCAGAAGCGCAGGACATACGTCCCGATCGGCGCTTTCTATTAGTGACAATCAAGTGGTAAGTTTGAGTTGATTGCGCTGGTTGCGGCGCTACACGAGCCCGCTAAGTCCTGAGATGCGAGTCCCTTTTTATTCCGCTAATTACCGTCGACCGATCGAATGCTACGCAAAAGGACATTGGGATCACTTTGGGACTCTAACGATTCAATTCATTATGCAAATGTGCCCTCGTCGTAGCGATTTATCCGAGCTATCGTGTATTTATTTGACATTTGGCTGGCGGCAGCCGCAATCTTTGTTCTCGCATTCAATTCGTAATTGCAAAGATTAATGATAAAGATAAGAATGATTTTTCATTTTGTCGATCCTGGAGTGATAATTGTACAAAGTGTATTTTAATTACAAACGCTTATTTACGATAATATGAACCGAGACTGAGACCGAATTGAGCAACGATTATCTATACAATTGTTGTGCTTAATGAAATTATTCTTCGTTTATGAGAGATTTTTATTATTTTATTTTTTTTTTTTTTTTTTTTTTTTTTTTTTTTTTGCATGCATGCATTACATTATTTTTCTTTTATCGTAATTTGATCATTTAAAACGAAATTATTCGGTATTTATAAAAAAAGAATGACCGTATCTTGAAAAAAAATTCCGATGATTGACAGATTTTTGACGTATTGATGTAATTTTAAATGAAAGAAGTATTTATTATACCATCATCGAATTTAGGATATTAATTTTCCATAAAGAAATTGAAAGTATTCTATCATGTGGAGAAAATTACGGAAAAGTGAAAGACTCGAAAGTCCGTAACACTTGTACAAAATATGTAAATGTAAATATTTCATTATTAATTAAGTAAAATCCTTTGGATGACTCATATTCTATTAAAAGAATCGAAAGAGTCTTCGACTTCTCATTTTTAAAATACAACACAGGTAAAATCTTTTCTTCGAAGTCACTTGGATAAATTTATAGAATTAACTCTATTGTTCTTTGGAATGGTATGATAATGAATGAAGTAGCATACCAATGGTCGCATTAGAAATACGATTTATTATTAATAATTTCATTTATCATTAGCCAACCTTTTATAGTCTTCGATAGTATTATATTTTATAATAGGCTATTATAAAGATAGAAATTATTTATTAAGAATATATTGTACGATAAGGATAGTAATATGTATAAGTAATATAGTTGAATGATCGTATGGATAAATTGTTCTTAAATTCGAGACCATCCCATTTGATTTTGTTTAAATACTAACAAATTTTCTCGCAAATACCCTTTGAAATTCTAATAATTCTAATAATTCGAATGAATGATAGAAAAAAAAATAGAAAAAAAATAATAAAAAAAAAAAAAAAAAAGAAAGACAAGAAACTCATTCTCATTACTAAATACATAAGTTTTGGATAAATAGAGGAAGCATACTATTCTTATTAATATTAAAATTAATATTTTTAATTTTTATCAATAAATTAACATCAGTGTATATTAGGATTCTTATAATACTTAAATTTTTAATAATTTCAACAAAAAAAAAAAAAAAAAAAAAAAAAAAAAAAAAACAACAACAACAACAAACTCGTTGAATGTTTGAAACAAATTCAATTACAGATTCATTAACAATTTAATCAAACTGCCTGCCTATCGTTCATACTGTACTTCACAAACTTTACTTTCAATTAAACAAATAACATCGATATTTTCCAATTCAATCAATCTTTTATTCTTCTACCAGTTCCAAAACATCTTAAATCATCCTTAAAATATATTGTATAACATCTATATGTTTAGAGTTTAATAATATTTCTTGATAAAAATAAAAAAAAAAATCGCATGAAATGTAATAACCTCTTCGTCGATTCTTATTAACTGGCTTTTGCGCATAAAAGTATACATAAAAACGCTATTTCACGGAATAACGTTTGGCATAAAATTCTAACGAATAGTTTGAGCCTGTGAATGACAATAGGTCAACATAACAACGTTTTTCCTTCTCTTCGGCAAACTGTTAAAATATTTTGAGGTCACCTTAACGTACTTTAGTGGAATGTAACCGACTATAATTATAAAATTCTTTCAATATTTATACTTTTTTTTTCAACAATCTAATAGTTCCCCCTCTCTCCACTGCCATTCAGCTCTCCTTCGGCTGTCTAATATAATTGCACTATTTAACAATAAACATTCACTGTTAAATAAAAATAAGTTTAAACATTTATTTGTTATTTATGTGGTAATGTAAGAACTGTTGATTAATTTTATTTTGATTAAATTTAATATTCCAATTGTCAATAACATTGTTCATGTTTATAATTATAATCAATAAAGAAATAAATAATATAAAAATTTTGTTTAATTTGTTCATTTACGGTTTTATATTGATAAATTCTGAATAAAATTATTTAAAGGTAGAGCGTAAACTTAATTTTAGGAATATTATTTATAAATTTTCAAAATCCATAACTACTTAAAATCATCATTTTCTTAAAGTTTTTAAACATCATGACTAATAATGATTGTATTATCAAGGATTCCTAATACGTCATAGGTCATTTTAGAACGTAATTTTTTAATTATTTTCAAAATTTACACTTTCTTAACATTTACAATTGTCTCGCTATACATTAGAAATTCATTAACGATTTAAATTAATTTAACTTCATTCATTAATGAATTTCATTCAATTACATACAACTATAAATAGGAATATTGCGATGGATGTATATAAAATGTTTGCGTAAATTAACATATTTACAACAATTTTTCATGTTTTATTTAAATTTTATAGAATATTTAATATAGAAAACAATTTATCATTGCCAATAGCTCTTTCATCTTTCAAGAACGTTTAAGTCAATTATTTTGACATCGAAGAAAAGTAGACACAGTCCATAATATAAATGATTAACGTTTTTTGACATAAGACTAGTGCAAAATCTAAAAATTCTTAATCTCCAAAAAAAGCTCGTGCTTTATCAATTCCATTATATAAAATATAAGATGCTATCTTCGTTGGTATGTTTATTTTTAATGTTTTTACGAGCAATTATAATGACCATGACAATTATACGACTGGAATGATTATATATCGATATTTTATATTTAACAAATTAAAGTATCGTCCTTAACTTTTAAACAAGAAATCAATAATTTTATAAATTTAGATTGTAGTAGATTTTTACAATTAGAACGCGTTGATCTCATGATTGAAAATTATAATAATTAAAACGTTTTGTATATATATTTCAATATGCTTAACGTTTTTATCATCAAACGGGAATGTTTTTTGTTTAAAATTAGAATTAATAATTAATAATTTTTATAATATTTTTATTAATCTTCCTTAATTTTTTTTTCTTCATTTTTTAAAAAATATTTATTAAAAAATATTTAATATTTTCTATGTTTTTTTTTTTTTTTTTTTTTTTTTTTTTTTTTTTTAGATTAACAATTGAATTTTAATCTGAATAAATAATGAAAATGTATTAATCGTAATGTGAAAATACTTTGGAATGTAATAAATATATAATATGAATTTTTGAAAAATAAAAAGTTTTTTAGAAAATTTTTGGGAAAATCTTTATGCATACGACTATAAGTAGTTCAAAGAATTATTAAATTCGACTGGCTAATTATATTCATATTATTAAATAAATAACTTATTCTGTATCCACATAATATATATATATATATATATATATATATATATATATATATATATATATATATTATTTACATTTATATCTAAACACATTCAACTTAAATCTTAACACAAGCTGTGGCAATAATAATTTTTTTGTCACGTAAATTTGTGGTAAAAAGACAACATTTATATATATATATATATGTATATATATCTATGTGTACAAAGAAAAAGCGAAAGGAATAATAAGAGTGAATAGTGAAGGGAGACGATAGATCTTTCTTCTTATTCTGCAGAGATCGTCATGAAGCCGCTATAGGTTAGTCGGTTAAGCCGGTGCGCACATTTTCTCTCGACGACGATAAAAAAGATGCAATTGAAGTTTATCGATGGAAATTATAGATTCGATAGAGTTCAAAAAAGATGTGCAAAGAAGCATCCTACCTGTATTCCTTTTTCATACTTTACATTGAATATAGTTACTTAATTTTAACATCGTTAGAAATTGATAAATTATATATTTATAAATCTAGAGTAGCGAATTTGTCTTCTATACATCGTTCATTAATTATTGCATTAAAAATATCTGTTTCATTATCTGTAAAATGTTTCGTATGCGTGACTTTAACAGAGGGGGGTGGGTGTCAATACTTTAATAAATAATATTAGCTTTTATGTAGAAAATATTTGCAAGCTTTGTTAGACTCTAAATCTACTATTAATTAATTACAAATAAGAGATAATATTTTTAAGTATTTTTATTTTTACGTTAATTTTTAGTAAGATACAAAGGAAGTATTTATGATACAATCTATGGATATATGATGATTCGAAAAACGGGTAAACGCACATCCTATAAGTGAAAAGTAAAAGATGTAAAAATGTATAATTAATCTTAGAATTATGGGGTATTCATGTATTATGGAGAGTTCATGCTCATCTCCATATTCAGATAAATTTCTATTAATTAAAATGATAATAATGTATCAAAATTTTTTGTTTCTCTCGCTTCTTGTTTTCACTTATTTACCAATGACTTCGATACATCGAATTTTTTGCGGCTGATTATTTTCCAATTGAATAATTTTCTATAATTTTCCTTATTTCTAATTTGCTTAGGTAAAATTTTTTTTCGCCTAATTTGAAAGTGTTGGTAATATGTTTTGACAAGAACTTTTTATCTATTATAGAGATAACTAAAGCTTTTCAAATGCCTGCGTTTGATATTACTCCGTAATAATTGCATTTGAATGATGACGATGATATAAAATAAGTGGCCTACCCTATAATCAGTCATCCAAATTATTTTGTAATGGAATTCGAATGAGAACTCTGATAGCTTTTAACACTACTTATGTATGGTCCACCTGAGGGCGACCGTAAATAAATACCGCC